CCACAAAGGATTTAATTTTTTTTTACCTGTATTTGACTGACTAACCTTTACTGCCGTATTTGATAAAATGACATGATTTTTTAAAAATAGGCTGTTGTTTTCTTAAATTTTTCTCCATTTGATTAAACTTATCTATTCTAAATTATTGTTGCAATGTCTTTTTATGTTATATTCCTTTAATGTCGACACAGTCTCTGAGCATATTAAGCCTACAGCTTTATCTTTGACGAAAGTGAAAAAATAATTAAATTTCCACTTTTCGTGAAAATTTCTGTACGCATCCGCAACCTTCCGTTCTTTTGAGCATATAAATCGGAAATCGAAGCTTGCCATGAGTTCGATCTAAGGCCGTCAAGAGGCTGAAATATGTATATCAGCGAATGGTGGTACGTTGTAACAAAATCAAACCTAAACCGTTTATTTTATTCCGTTCTTTTGTTTGCTGTTTCGAAATGCTGTTACGGATTAAAAATTTGAAATTTAAAAAGTTTCATTAATCTTAAATTAAAAAACTAGACATATTGTAACGATATAATTTGCCTACCAAATATGGTATCGCTTATAGGGGTTGAAAGTGAGAACTTAGCAATTACTGGGCTGGAGATTTGGTAAGTAAACAAACCGAAACGTTTGCGACCGACTACTCTTATTTTGGGTAGAGAGCTTGGTCGTAAGTAAGTGAATAAAGGAGTGACTAGAAGGGGTCACTACAAAGGAAGAAATTTAAAAAATACTTACAGAGATTTCCTGGACAACAAAGACAAGAAGGTTCCTAAACTATTTGAATTTTGACGCCGTTTAAAACAATCCTCTTGTTGGATAGAAAGAAAGGCTTTTCTTTGCTAAAAAATATTAATGGGTGAAAATCTTTTTAAAGGAAATAATTCTACAACTTCTGGTTTAGAAAGAAACTTTACATATTTATTATTACGTATAATAATATTTTATATTTATATATTTGAATTGTTTATATTTACATAATAAACAATTCAAATTTATGTTTTGTACCAAATGTCCGAAAAAGGATAATACTGACTGTCATATGTCGAAATAAAATATCAAACCTTTTTAAAATATTAATTAAATTTTTAAAATTAATTGTATTTAAAAGAAGATTTATATTACAATTAGCCAATCCATAAAATTTATAATTTGATTTATTTATAATTTTTGTTAGTTTGTCATGAAAGCAATTTTTTTATTATGAAAAATGTCTATTTTACTTAGAAAATTTTTAACTAAAACTCCCTTATATCACTCTGGCTGGTATTTCCTTTAAGAAGTTTTTGGGATTGGAATTGAACCAAAACACTGCAAACAACACAAAACTGTGTCCCACTTTAGCTAAAATTGGTCTGAAGTAAACATAGAAAACAAATATGGACAATTCTTGGGAAGCTTGTGCCTCGGATTATCCTGAATGACAACAAACTGCAATCTTGAAAACTCGGCAAATCAGTTTGTTCTTTAAACCATGTGGACTTCTCAAATGGTTGGCCGTCTTTCTAATCTCTGAGATAGGGAACAGCACAAAAAAAATCGGTGATTAACTCAACAAAAACTACCAAATTACATTTTGAACATAAATTCACCTTTCAAATAAAAAAATTTGCCGGCTTTAAAGACTACCACGCCGAAAGCTATCTCTCCCAAATCTCCACTTCTAACTGCACTTCACTATTTTCCTATGACAACAAAAAACTAATAACGAAAAAAACACGAACGAATTTGAAGAAAAGCCCAAACTAAACAACAAAACCAACTGCCCTGTCAGCGGGCTCATCGTACAGTAATTTCATCATTCTCAAAAATCGTTCGCCTCCCCGCATACTTTCCCACAAACCTAAGTGAATATTTATTTGACACGCAATATTAAGCGGAATTAACATAAAAAATAGTAAACAAATACCAATCTGTCTTAAGTAAACAAAACTAAAATTTCTTATATTATCAATCTCAGGGACGCAAAAAGATTGAAAATAGTTTTCAGTGTTTTTAACATGTACGAAAAGAAATAGAAATGCTACAATATATAAATCCGAGACAATTAAAACAAAGACAAATCATTGCAAAATACGAGAAGCTTAAAGGAAATAGTACAACAATAAATTTACAGATATAAAAGAAAGACAAAGAAACAATAACGACTTTAAATTACATAAAAAATTAAAGTGTAAACAAACATACCTTAACCACAAAAAAATGGAAGAATACCAACAGGAATACCTTAACTCAAAAAAAAAAAATGGAAGAAGAGTATTATCTGATATCAAAGGTAAACTAAATAGGTGGATGTAATATATTTAAGATTATTTCTTAGATTTTCTTATTAGATCTACTCAATAAAGTTTAGCAAAAGCCAATAAAGCCATGGGACCTGACAGAATTCCACCTAAAATAATTAAATTAATAACAGAAAAATAAATAAGTGTGTTAATAGACCTAATGTCATACATAATATAGGACATATTTCCAAACAATGGCTTAAATCAATATTTATTACATTACCCAATAAATTTAAGTACAAATGAATGTAGAATGTAATGACACCGGATAATTAGTTCTATGAGTCACACACTTAAAACTTAAAACCTTAAAATTCCTAAAACTTAAACATTTACTAATTTTCAGATAGTTTAAAGAAGAATCAAAAATGTATGGATGCCAATCAACTACTCTATGTTTTTTATCGACTAGAATAAGACCTTTGCTAACGTCCGCCATAATCAGTTCAGACCACTGAATAAAGATACATAATAATATAGATAACAAAGCACTCATAATCTATAATATAAAAATGAATCGCAAAATGTGTTGGTAAGTCGCATAACTCACCAAAGCATGGACCAATCTTGACAATTCTTTCTTTAAAATGTTCCTTGAAGTCTGAGGATTGTTTCTACGGTATGAAAAATTCGAATAATTTCCGGGAAAACCCTAAAACAGCTCTTTTCGTTTTCCCATACAAATATTTTCTAACTTAATGTAGAGTCAATTTGAACTTTATTGCTATTTAATAAAATTTATATTAAATTTCAAGCACTCACTGTTCTCTAAACAATCTATAATATAAAAATAAATCGCAAAATGTGTTGGTTAGCGCATAACTCATAACAATGCATCTGGACCAATCGTTTAACTAACTCTTTCTTAAAAATGTTCATTGAGTCAATTTGAACTTTACTGCTATCAATAAAGTTAATATTAAATTACAAGCACTCACTGTTGTCTAAACAATGTAGGTGTATTCTTAACGTCGAAGATTCAATTTGCACTTTATTGTCGTTGCACAAAGTTCAAATTCAACCAAATGTATGTGTGCGCGTTCGTGTGTGTGCGTGTTCGCGTTGGAGGATCTAATGCGTTCACACAAAAGTGATAATATCGTGAACCCGACCAAATTGAAAAGTCAAAAATGTAAGAGCTATAGATTTGATTGTCCTCGCAATATTCTTTCTTTTGCTTTAGTTTCGGAACGCGACATAAATTGCATCAGTTTTCACGTCGTTGCATCTGTCAAACAAACCGGTGTTTGTTACCAGAAGGTGTTTCCAGCTGTTGTTTAAAATTACAGAAACCACGATTGATTGTGCGAACTGGCTATATTGGCGGCAAAAAACTTTGCAATTTTTAAATTTTAATTATTTCTTAAAAGAAATAATTGAAAAATAACTAGAAGGAAAAACGATCGGAATAAAGGTCAATGGTGTAAACTAATCAGCAATATAAGATTTGCAGACAACACCATCCTCATAACGGAAAGTATACAAGGCTTTGTAAATGCAATCGAAGAAAGTTGATCAACACTGTACGGTAAAAAACCGAAATTTATAAAAATTGACCAAAATATAATGGCAATGAGAATAATCATACATAAGAAATAAGGACGACAATTGGACAAGCTACAGCAGTATTTATTAAAATGAGAAAAGTTCTATGTAGCATTGATCTTAGCTTACAACTGAAACTAAGAATATTGCACTCATATGTATTTTCAATATTGCTCTATGGAATGGAGGCTCGCATGTTAAAGAAATTAGTAAGGGATTAAAAGGATTTGAGATGTAACCCTACAGAACGTAGGTTCATGTACATATATATAATTTAGCACTCCAGGCCTAGAAGGCCCATGGCTTGGGTTACTATTCTTTTCCATTCTTTTCTGTTTGTTGCTTTATTTTTCCAGTTTGGTATTTTAAGTTTTTCTATGTCTTTTTCAACATCCTTCTTCCACCTGGTTTTCAATCTGCCTTTCTTCCTTTTCCCTCCTATTTCTCCCATTAGCATTATTTTTGCCAGTCTCGTGTTTCTCATCCTTTGGATGTGTCCCAACCATCTCAGTCTTTGTGACTTTATGATCCCTATGATATTCGGTTCTCCATACATCTCCTTTAATTCCATATTTGGTCTTTTTATCCATATACCATTCCATAATTTACCTCCAAATATTTTCCTGAGGACTTTTCTTTCCCAGACTTGCTCGGATTTGTTCATTGTCCATGTTTCACTGGCATATAATACAATAGGTCTTATTACTGTTTTATATATTCTTATCTTAGCCCTTCTAGATATGTTTTTGCTTCTTATATATGTGTATATTATTCGACGCGATATATTTCCGTTTTTTATATCATTTTCAGTGAAAAAGTTATAATCGAAGTGCCACATTATAGTGACAGACATAGTGCATGTGATATTCCCATCAATGAGTATTAAAAAGTCGAGCACGAATATTTAGTTATGGTTTTGATGTAATTTGTGGTTAAACGCTTATGACCTGAAGTTTGGCAAAAATGACTCAAAATTAGTAAAATTTTATAAATTTTTAAATACCTGTTGTTTGTTGGACTTTAGATTTCTTTAAGAAATATTTACAGAAATAAATAATTTTTCATAACGAACATTTCTTTTCTCTTTGGATAATAATTACTTTTTGCTTTCTAATTAAGACTGAAGCTATATGGTTTGTTTATATTACCTTTCTATTTTTTTATTTTCAGTTTCATTTGCAATGTACTGCAAGTTCAGACAAGTGACAGATATTTTAAATAAACACAACATGACTCATAAAGAAGCATTAAATAAATATACTTTCATTATGGGTTTAATAGCCGGATTTGGTATCAGTGTTGTTGCTAATTTTCAAGAAACTAATTGTTTTATAGTACACTGGATTGGAGCAGTAATGTGCTTTGGGTTCGGATCTATATATCTATGCATGCAGGTAAGGACATTTGTTTTGTACGATAAATGACTCCTTGTGAAACAAGTATAATTCTATTTTATTTAGAACAGAGGAAATAATATTAATAATAATGTTTTAATACATTATACAACATGACAGGTTTATAGCGAAACAGGGTAAAAATTCTGATGTCTCTAAGTCATATTTTTTATATGTTAATTGGCATATAAGAATATATTTTTAGATTCTATATAAAATTATAAAAACAAACATTTAATATAAGTAACCGTATAACAAAATTTACTATTTTGTATTTGTTCATGGTTTCTTAATAATTTACGAGAAACGTGTAGAACATTAAAAACTCTGGAACGCATATAACTGTAGATTGTAGATTTCGCTGAGATGTAGACGGTTCGATTGCTTCGTCTACCTTTTCACATTGCTACATGAAAAAAACACGAAAAAAAGTTTTTATCTAAAATTTTCTACCTTTTAATTACCTTAATTGATATTTATCTAACTTACTGAATTTGGCAATTTAAGGACATAATTTATAAAAACCGATCTGTGTGCCTCTATCCCATACAAAGATGACATATCAATTCAAAAACCTACAAAAAGCATAGGCAAAATTCTTTAATTACTGGTTATTACATGATTTTAAAGAAAATAAGAATCAAATATTATGTTTATATGGAACTACATCACAATCAATTGCAATGAAAGTTACATTTTTAAGTAATGTTTTACGTTTTGATTTCCACTCCCGAAATCGTTTTCAAAATAAGATAGGTATTCACTAACAACTTGACCTAGCTCAATATTTATTAGAAAAAAATTACATACTAAAATCAAATTACTATGAGTCTTCTACAATACAATAGTATAAGCTATTTTTGGGTTTCAAATGTACCAGACCACCTTATTAAATAACAATAAATATTTAATTATTTTATGAATGATTATAATGTCACAGCTAAAATGATGCAGATAAGATGAATCTTATCAATTTAAAATTTGCAACATAGGCGTTGAATTAAATTCATATTGCAGTTCATTTTATGTTTAATTTGACATTTAAAAGTATTATAACAAAATTATTTAAGAATGGGTCGACGATCTATGATTAGTAAAAGACATTTAATAATTACTCACTGTCTTGACCCACGATTAGTTTACCGTGAGATATATTTACTATAAAATATTATTTTATTAAATTAAAATAACATACAACGACATTTTTCATACAACTATTTATTGCTTACTATATATGTTTACAGAACTGAGTCTGAAATGCTAAATGCTACTACTAAAAATACATTACAAAAAGTCTAACAGAAGCCCCTAATGGAGGGGAGGTCGTTTCTAAAAACTATAAAATTTTAACTTGGGCAAACAAGTAAATGACACAAAGTCGTATACTATTGTCCTTCTCAGAAATACATAAATATACGGAGCGGGCACAATAAAAATGAATCGCTTGATTCGACTAACTGTAAATATTTAAAATACCTACTTTCTAAAGACAGGGATTATTATCTACAAATTTTCCCCAGAAAGATGTAAAACTGATAAACATTTTAATCTTTTAATAGATTTCAGGAAGCTAATTTACCAAAACTTTAAGAATTACCGATATAAATTAAAAATAATAAATAAAATCGACAAATAACACGAAGTAAATTATAATGAGACGGAACATGCCACCCGCCTTGAACTACTGAAGTTCAAAATGAAGTTGTCGGTTGACGTCGATAATTTAGCTGATCGGAAGTGGACACAACTTCTTCACGCAGCGTATGTACTCTCCAGTTTTTGTTTTCAAGGTTGCCATTCTGACGATGCCGTCCTCCCCAGGGTGCACCAATGTGATGCGTCCAACTGTCCATTTTAACAGAGGCAAATTTTCCTCAAGAATTAACACCAAAGCATCGACCACTATTCCATTATCAGTGGCATTAACATTATTGCTGCTGATCAATTGATGAAGATATTCCTCATACCATCGTTTCCAGAAGTGCTGCTTTAACTGCTGGGCGTTCTGCCAAGCTGATAATTTATTGGCTGACATATCCAAAAAGTCAGTCTTCAGGATAGCTTGTCATCGAACCACCAATTAAAAAATGTCCAGGGGTAAGGAGAAAAAGGTAATTTGGAGTAGACGACGTAGGAGAAATAGGACGAGAATTTAATATTGCTTATATTTCAATAAGATAGGTTTCTAATTGTTGATTATATTAACAAAGTATCATCTACAGTGCAAATTAAATGATTATTAAAGAACTTAACTGCGGCTTCCCAAATTCCTCGAAAGTGGTTAGATTTGGGCGGTATAAAATGTCAAGCGAACCTTTTAACATCCGAATATTTTCTAATGGCATTTTGATAATCTGACTAGTTAAATAATTCATAAAGTTCGCGAATTGGTCCTTCGAAATTAGTAGCGTGATCCGAATATATTTCTGCACATTTTGCTCGTCTAGAACAAAAACAGCGAAAGTTAGCTAAAAATGCTTCGATGGTTAAGTCGCTTACTAGTTCTAAATGAACGGCTCGTGTAGACATGCATACATACACTGCGACGTATACCTAATCGTCTACGATTGCGGAACTTTTTTCCTTGAATAATAAATGGCCGCAATAATCAAATCCAGTTTTAAGAAAAGGTCGAGAAGGAGTTACTCGGTATTCGGTAAGGATACCCATTTTATGATTAGCCGGATGAGGTTTTATGCGAAAACAAGGGATGCATCGATGTAAAATTTTTCGAGTTACATTACGTCCGTCTAAAGGCCAATAAATTTGGTGCACGGAGTATAAGATGGTTTGGAGACCAGCATGTTTTAATTTTACATGTTCTTCACGTATAATTAATCAAGTAATGTATTGATTAGCTGGCAGTAATATTGGATGTTTTTGCGACTCAGATAACGAGGATCGATTAAGTCTGCCACCAACCATTAAGATTCCGTTATTATCTAGGAATGAATTCAAAGATATATATTTACCTTTACCAATAACAAAATCCTTTTTTTTTAAATGATTTCTTTTGAAAATTTCGACAATTGCGTCATCTTAATTATTAAAGCATTTAGTTCGTTTCATCCGGTTTTATTCGATTTCTACTCGTATTCGGATTCGGTTCGTATTCGGTTCTTACTCTGTTTTTATTCGGGTTTGCTTTCTAGTCTGTTTATATTTGAGCCAAGTTTCTATTCGGTTTTTATTCGGTTCTTATTTGGTTTATATTCGAATTCGATTTTTATTCGGATCTTATTCAGTTCTTATCAGTTTTACACGACCTTTGAAAAACCGTGGCACGTTTTCTACTAGGGCAGAAGTAATTCATTCTTGGACAGGTAATATATTCACAACGTACCTGTCGTGGCACCGGTTGTTGTGAGGCTGGAAAAAGCGGCATATATAAATGACTTGATACATTGTCTGTGTAAATATATTGGAAAATAGGTGACCCAAAACAATTTTTACACATGTTATATAATTTTTTTTTAAATTTTATTATTAAAATATACAGTATTAGTTTAATGTGATGTAACCTGTATATATCACAACCAGAAAAGGAGTACGACCGTTCATCTAGCACCATAGCATAAAAAAGCACCATCAGTTCATCTAAAAAGATCAATATGATGTTGGGTTTTAATATTATTCTTTTTAGATGAACTGATGGTGCTTTCTGATTAAAAAGCGAAACGTCTTCAATAAATAGATGAAGTAGCCACCTTCTTTGTCTTTTTTCTCTCCGCCTTTTGACCGAAAAACCCACCACTCTTCGAATGACCCTTAATATATATATATATATATATATATATATATATATATATATAACTGATGATGCTTTCTGATTAAAAAGCCAAACGTCTTCAATAAATAGATGAAGTAGCCACCTTCTTTGTCTTTTTTCTCTCCGCCTTTTGACCGAAAAACCCACCACTCTTCGAATGACCCTTAATATATATATATATATATATATATATATATATATATATATATATATATATATATATATAGAAAAGGAAAAGAGGAAAAGAAGTCTTTGCTGACAACGTTAGAAAACGGAACTTTGAGGTTTATTGGGATTTGCAGCGCTGAAATAAGTGTACTCTTTTAACTAAGTTTCAAACTTTCGAAAATGTTTATTTTCATCATCAGGAAAAACTGAAATAAAGTACTACTGTAAGTAAAGCATCATCGAAATTTGTTAAGAGTTAAAGGTTGTAAAAACTATTTTTTTATATTTTTTAATAATTGACTCAATCAATGAGTGGTGCGTGAATTTGTCACCTGTGAGTGAAACATCCACGAAAGACAAACCTCACTAACGTAACTAACGTAAGTTTTTTCGAACGTAAGACATCATTCCAGCATCAGTCTCAAGGTAAGGCGATATAATGAAACAGAGTCGTATATCGAAGATCAGGGCAAGGGCGAAAACGTTGCACTAGTCAAATTGATGAGAGTTGTTTGAGACAATGTGCTCTCAGAGATAAGAGAGTCACCAGCAATTTGCTAAAATTTGCTATCAAAAACTATCAAAAAAAAAAGAATCGAAGTCGTAGACCCCCTATTTCCAATTATAACCAACTCATTGAGGCCGGTGTTGAAGAATAGGAGAATATTCTGAAAGCTTTTATTGGGAATTTGATATCAAGTATGCTTCGACGAATAAATGCAATCATAATAAGTAGAGGAGGGCGTAAACGGTATAAGTATTGATAATGAAGTATTTTATTGTATTACTTTACTGATTTTTTTCTTTTTGCAATTTGGAGTTATGTTAGCTTATTTACGAATTTCCGGCAAAAACAAATTTTTAAAGAAACAATAAGGCAAATTAAGATCATGGTAAAGTCATGTTGGACTTACTTGTAAGTGTTTATTATTATTTCAATATAACTTAGTTTTATTTTGTGTTCCTATTGTAAATATTTAGATTAATTAGAGGGGTGCGTTAATTTTGTCCAGGAGTTTATTTCTCTTAGAAGTAACTCTCTTAGAAGAGTGAAAAACAAAGT